GGCCATATACGACACAGGTGATTGACTAAGGTGAATCAATCTATTTATATGCACCTCAGAAGTTTTTCCATAGACATTAGTCATGTCTTAGTCAACCATACAGCTCAAGGAAAATACAGAGAGATGCTTAACCGCACTCTGATATCATCATGTAATTCTTCCATTACACTGAAAATGGTGTGATCATGAGGGTCTCTTGCAGAAAATCACTTCTCTATTTGATTAGAACAAGGCATTAGTGGTGTGGAGAAGTTGAAGTGCTACATGCTTAAAAACACCCCTGCGGCATGGTGCAAGCTAAAATTATCGTGAGACAGTCATGTGTCACTCATGATGCATATTCAGCAGGCTGCCGCAGGAAGCTAAGGAGATGGAGTGAATAGTACGAGCTCAGTGCAGGCTTTGGACTCACCACTCCCACATTTGAAATTGTAATGTTGTCCCCACACCGCAATGTTATGTCCACACCTAGTTATAGTTATGAATTAAAACCAGCCGTCAACAAAAAATGTACCTGCATAGAAATATCTATAGATATCTCAGTGAACAACATAATCACATACATAGTCAATATAGTTCAGAATAGCAGGCTGCAAATAATGATGTCCCTTTACACGCAGTGTGTATGTGTCTATATAGTCTATATATACATATGTCGGGTGTGTGTATGTGTATATCTATTCAGTGGAACCCATAAATAGTGATGACAGTTATAGTGATCAACCGCTTATATGGATCAAAACCATACCTGAGCAGGCAGCAGATGCGGTATTGCTATTTATTCTGTTTCAGACAATATTACAAAAGGTGACCCCCATGTTGGGGACGCGACTCCAGGCGTTGATGGTGCTGCTGTGCCGAGCACATCTTAGGGTGCTGGCTGCACTCAGTCCCGTGCCTTGGAAACGGGTGGGCAACCATCTGGCCATGTGCTGATGGACACTGTTCTGGGGTCACAAAATACAATAGTGGCTGCTGTAAGAGATGTGGCCTATTTGACCAAAGGGGTAATAGTAAATGTCTTATCTTACTTGGAAGCCAGCCATCGCACGAAGCACCATTTTCAAGTTTGTTCCACAACATTAATGAGATGCATTTTTTCATTGCAGATAATTTGCACATTGATAAAGTGGAAGTGTGGACAGAATTTTCAATGGAACAGGTAGAGCACATTTCCTCAAAGTCTACCTTTGTAAAGCCAGCCCCAGGTCAGCACACAGCTCCACAAGGATAAATCGACTTAGAAACCAGTCATCATCATGGGACAAGAAATCAGTATAATCTCTAAATATGTGGTCTTTTCTAATTTCCCCAGAAGGATTTTCTTCTAACAACGCTAAATCAGCCATGGAAGTTGGAAAAATTTGAAGATGTGGATTCTCATCTGGATTCTCATCCCTGAAGCTACATACTCAGGGTTGAATTACTCAAGTTACCTTAGTATGGTAGAGGGGTTTTGTGCCTTATGGATCCACAGAGCTATGTCCTCAGCTTGAACCCAATGTAGGACCTGCCTTTGCAAATTAAATATAATTAAAATATGATGTAGCAAAGAACCCCCCCATGAAAGCTACCAGGAAAGAGCAATGTACATGTACCCTGATGGAATGGGGCTACTGAGACCCAGGCCTTAGGGTTGTGTTAGCTAGCCAGCCCCTGGTGGCTGGGCCACCCACATAACCCAGCCAGTCTCAGCTCAGAGTGGAGTCATCTTGTGTGGTTACCATCTGCAAGGTGAAAGGGGAGGGGCATCAGCTGCGGTGACATTTGTGTAGCATGTATGAACTATTTGAAAATTGTGGCCTGTGTGTCTTTTAAATAACCTGAACCTGAAGCTGTTGTAAAAAGTGAGTATACAAACTGTTACATTTTAGGGATCAATTGTGTAAGTAAAAACTACACACTATCCCAATGACTGGATCCATTTGGAAAGTTGAAGGTATTAAAGAACCCTAATTTTCTTCTTGTACTTAAAAAAATGCAAAAATATACAGTTTTACAACCTCTTTTGAAGGTTGGGGGTGCTGATGTAACAAAACTACAATAATTTTTTGAGATACTCAGGAATTTATCTCATGAACCACACTTAAGCTACCAGACACAATATGGAAGCAGCTATAAGCTTAGTGCTCTAATATAGAGTTACCATGTTTGGTGAGAGGAAAAAGAGAATTAATGAGTTTTCATGTTCACTGGCCAATCAGGTAGCACTTCTCTTATGAATATTAATATGTTTTCCCTAACCATCCCGTAAAACGAAAATTTGTGTCCAGGGAAATCCAGAGATATGGCAATCTTACACAATATAAGTGTATACAAGTCTTTTTCAACAATAGTTACAAAACAGTAAGCTGAAGTTCGTTAAACTTCAAGCAAACGATGCAAATCACTGTTCACACGAAAACAAAAGTAATGTGTCAAAGTGCCAATGGTTTCTGGACGTTGTCATCACTCCTGAGTAGCATTACATATAGGGATGTGCATATCATTTAAATTTTAGAGTAAACATGTGCATGAGCCTGGCAAACACTGTGTGATGATACTGATACTGAGTGGTTGCTGTATATATTGGTGCCATTTCCTTTGCTTGGTGCTCCACTGTAACTTGCAACGCTGGGTCATATGGGTTGCAGCGCTAAACCCGGACACAAACTGACGATTTTTAAAAAACCACTTGGACACCTAGACAGGGGCCCAAAAAGAAGATGTGTCCGCAGAAAACATGGTAATCCTACTTTAATGTGTACTAACCCAGGCCAGGTACTGCAGCAACATCAATCTCTATAAATCTACTAAAGATCGTAATTTCAGAAAAGCAAGATTAAATCAAAACAATTTATTTGTTGGGCTATAGATTCTGTACTGTAATGAGAAGACCAGTAATTTAAAAAGGGACTTTTATCTTGTGACCTGGGTTTCCTGTTTCCTCTCACGAGTAAGAAGTTCTCATAACACAGAAGTTTGCAACAAAACTTTATTCTTGTGTTTTCTTACAGCATTGTCAGTAAGTGAAGTTCATTCATCAGTCTGAAAGTGAAAGAGAAATATAAGTTAGATAGTTAAGGTTACATTCGCTTATTGAGTGAATACACTTACAGTACCTGTTAGCATTACCAGTAAAGACAAATGTTGTTAGCCACGTTTGGGTGATTTTAGATATTTGTGTACTTACTTGTGTTATTTGGATTTCTTTCAATTTTACCTTTTCTTCATTAAAATCAGTTGGCAAATTCTATTATGTGGAAGCCCAATCTGCAAAAATTAGCATGAAGGAATTTAATTGTGTCACTTAGTCCTCTTCTAGTTGTGGCAAATCAAAGAACAGCCACAGGCATAGATCTTGTGAGCCTGATTACACTGAGACAAGTCACACAAATTTGAGCTTTTAGTGAAGATTTTTTGGAGAAGTGGGGAGAGTTAATATATATTAACAACAAACATTACATGATAATAACAAACATAATTGTATAATCATATAATGTTTGTTATTAATGTATATCAAAGCTGTTAAGGCATGTTAGGATGTAGAAGGTATACTTACATGCTGCTTATGGATCTTCTATGAATGCATAATAAATGCATTATGAAGGTGCAGTTAATTTAAGGTGCTACCCAATAATGATACAACAAACTGAGACCCTTAGACTAGATGCATTGAGACCATTCAAATCAGACTAAGTACAAGTGTGTACACAACCTTAGAGCAATCTGAGTGGACTTTGGGTGACCTGGAACTAGGAAAATATAGGAGAAAAGGGAAAGAGGAAAGGATGGAATTTATTACCAGAGAAAAACAAAAATGGGTTTTATTGAACTCAATGTTTGGACTCAAGATGACGAGACAAACAGGTACATATATACATAGACTAACAAGGGGCAACAAGCATCAGGCGCGGCCCATTACTAGGTGAAGGAGGAGAGAGGAGGGTTAGGCGGATGTGCTGGGCAGGATGTGACACTTTAAGTAAATAATGGCCGACCCATAACCCAAAAAACATGATACAATCCGAACCATGAGTTTTGTGATCTGCTGCATCACTACATGTGGTGGTGCAATGTATTAGTTCCTCGTTGGGCCTCCAGACAAAGTTACGTAGATATATTATCATGGCTGTGAAAAAGCACAACACACAACTGGTGCTAACATCAATACATACAAACCAAGTACCTCTGCAGACAACATAAACAATGGATCTAAATAGTGAAAACCTAATATTACAGCTGCTAGGGTTGCATTTCATCGTACATGCAGACAATGGGGGTAACCTCAACCTTCTTACATTTCATAATTACACTTCCAATGTAACTGTAGCCCCACCTATCATGACTTTAGTAATAATTGCATAATAATACTGTACCCTTCATGCCAGTGATTATCTGGAATTTCTTTCACAACTATATTATATTTTATATGTATACATTATATGCAGTATATAAATTTTAAAAAACTAAAACAGTAAAAGTCCTGTATTTTGTTTGGTTACTTATGATTAAGGTTAGGGCTGGGTAGCGGTTTAGGTTAGGTTTGGGATTGGGTTGTTGGGATTAGGGTAATGTCCATAAAAATGAATGGAGAGTCCCCATAATGATATAGATACCTGTGTGTATGTGTGTGTGCGCATGCGTGTGTGTGTGTGTGTGTGCGCGCGCATAGAAGTGAATGAGCGGGCCCCATAAGGATAGGTATACCCGACAAGTGCGTGCGTGTGTGTATATGTGTGTGTGTGTGTGCACAGGATGCCAGCAATTCTCAGGTCACTTTTAGAAACAGCACTTTACCAAACTGCACGTTGCCTGCAAACTTGACGTGCAGAGTGGGGCAGGAGTCACCCAGTGAGCACATTCGAGTCGTGCATAATCATCTGGCTACAATATTTAAAATCAAGTGCATAAGAGCCACAATGCCACTCTTTATACCCACAAACACACAATCAGACACAGACACACACACACACCTGCCTCTGCTTTGTTGTCATGTCCTGTCCCTCTTAACCCCCCCCCCCCCCCCAAGTGTTTGTACCACTGACTATTGTGTGGAGTCAAAGTATGTCAGGGCAGATCTTTGTTTGTTTCATTTAAATATTCAGGTGAACATTCACTATACACTGCTATAATCTTTCATGCTGAGAAACAGAAATTCTGTAATTTAAATGATCCCTTTAAATGCCTCATTAAATGTAACTTCCTGTTTTTTTGTATTTCTTCAGTTCCTGTTGGGATAACCAAACGGTCACCTAACGCTCTCAACATAACCACCAATTTCCAGACTTTCTCAAATGAAGGAATGAAAATGATCTGCATACTAAGAATCTTCTTTTGTCTCTTTTTAGGTAAGTTTCATTGATCATTATTTGAGTAACCTGTTATTGAACTATATTGATGAAAAACACTTTTGAATTAACACCTTTGATAACTTTAATTTTTATTTTAGACTATATGATCTCATTACAGATGTTGTTGAAGTCATGCAGTTATATTTTAATAGAGTTAAGAAGTACGAAAATTAATTTTTTGACTTTTGGCAATCCTGTCAGCTATAGTAAAATATTCAATATATAAGGAGTGAAACATTACCAGCCATATCATAAATGATCTTAAAAATCAAATAAAGCACAGGGATATGTATATACTGGTTGGTTACCTTCATGACATTTCTGTAAATGTTCTTTCTATATATGTCTTGGTGACAATTAAATAAACACTAAATTTTGATTATGTTTATATTACTATATTTGTAGTCCTACAAGGGAGTCAACAACATATGATTATAAATCATTTTCGGTTGTTTGTGAGCATGTGTGTCAGGACCATTCTAACATTTTCAGTAAGTATTATGTTGCCAATAAGTGTGTGTTTACACTGTACACGCTTCAATGTATGGTTAACTAGTGTGCAGTTAACTTTTTAAAATATGTAATTTAATCATACCTTTGGTGTGACAAGCTAAAGACTACAAAATATACTGCGGATGATCAGTCTGATCAGTCTGTTGTTTTTTACGTTTTCATAACCATGTGAAGCTGCTACAGACATAAAAGAGCAAAGACAGAATGTGTTAAGGCTGAAGTTTTTGCAACTGCTGTGCATGTATGGGGTGAGAAAATAGCTCCAATAGTGATGCACAGTATTACTGAGTCACTAAACGTGCTAAACGTGCTGCTTTTAAGTGAGACCAAATGTGTACATATGTGGTATAAAATGGTTCTAAGTGCATTAGGCCTTGGGATATTAATGCAGAGTTGAAGAAGAAAAAAGGTTCCGATTCAGTTTCAGTTGTTTTATTGCAAAAGCCAATTTGCTACCTAGTCAAAGTGCAAAGCTGAACAAAGGCAAGTGTTAACAGAATGGAAAATCCAGGAGCTCTGTATGATTATATGTTTGATTGTTCAACATGAGGAGGATGTGAGGATAATATTTATATACGTTAGCTCAGTCTTTAATAGAGTTAGTATATTCTGAGATTTTCTACCTTAACTAAAAATACACTCAATATTATTTGCTGGCAAATAAATTTACACCATGTTCGCCATCTAAGTAGCTTTGGCCTTGTCCACACATACACGGGTCTTTTTAAAAATGGTGCTTTTTCTCCATCGTTATATATAAAAAAAAACTCAATCCACAGGAAAACGCTAAAACATGCTGTCAAGAGCATGCTAGACCAACAGGTGGCGATATAACTCGTAAACCCATGTTTGCCAATCAGTAGCCTTATTACCAGTTCTGCTAGGCTATAAACAGTAAACAGGGCACATTCTGACATCAAACAAAGTAGATAACGGTGCACACTCTCCTGACTACACTTCAACACTAAAAATTGAGTTTCTGAAAATGTTCACCCTGGATGGAGTTTTACAAAAGCTCTGTTTCCAGTAATGTAAAACACAGCTTGCATGTCGATGAAAGGCCAAAACGCATAGAAAAAGCTAAGTCTTTAAAAATACCCATGTACGTGTGCACAAGGCATTATTAGCATGAAAATGTCATATCCTTGATTAATCAAAGTAACCGTCCCCTAGCAGTTTTAACAGCAGATAAAATTCAAGACATTCTTTCTACAAGGGACATTAAATACACCTCTGTTTCATGGGATGAAACCGTTAACTAGTGCATTTAAAGATAAAGGATAGCTTAGAATTTGACTATGCCATCACCACACAACCAGATAACAGGATGTCAGACATGCACTGTTACACGCTCTTTCCATGTTATAAAGGAAACTTGTTTTATTTGACGTATATTTTCACTCACCTGTTCACTCAACTTTCCAATGTACAACAAGAATAAAAAAATAGGCAGTTCATGAAATAAATGGAAAAGTAGTTAAAACATGTTGTGTGCAAAAACTTTTCACTGGCAATATACAGTGGTACCTCAGTTCTCTAACTCATTAGAACTCGAGTTTCTTAAAAGTCGAACCAACCAGTTTGAAAAAAAATTACCTAGAACTCGATCTGAATCTCAGAAGTCTAACTGTGAACGCCAACCTAAGATAACTTGTACGCGTGGGGAAATGAGTCATGCGACACGTCTCTCAGTGGAAACAAAGGGTAACGCTTCAGTCTCAGCCTTGCATTTGCTGTGATAGCGTCGTGTATGTTTACACTAGCTGAATACATATAGACAGTAAAAATACATTTAGACAATGATAGACAGTAACAGTAATTATTATTATACTGTATAATAAAATACATTTAAAAATAAAGATTTCTTATTAATTATTTTAATATCATTAATAATAAACCATTAATACATTTAATTATAATAATATTGTCCGGGGACGGAACAGAGACAAAGGCGCAGACGTCAGGGTATCGGGGAATACGGGGTTTAATTACAGGTAAGGCAAGCAAAACGCAGATGGACAATATAATGACTGGACTGGCGAAACAAACTGAAACGCGGACTAAATACAGAGGACTATTGACAACAAGCAGAAACAGCTGATCACATGGGAATTCCACACGAGGTTAACGATGGGACGTGGCACACGGAAGGAGCGGACGATCGGGGCATGACTTTTTTTGTTTGGATACATTTATTTTCTTACTTTAAATATTACTGTTTTGATAAATGTGCTTAGATGTCTCTAGTACAGTATATACTTTTCTTGTTTTGTCCGGTTCATTTTGTGTTTAAATGGTAAAAAAAAACATATTTCGGTGTAATTTTTGGAGGCTGGGAACCAATTAATTGGTTTTCCATTATTTATTATGGGGAAAATTCAATCAGAACTCGAACTTTTTAGGATTCGGTCCAGAGTTCTGAACGGATTAATATCTAGTTCTGAGGTACCACCCATGCTGGCCACTAAATATTTGTTAACTGGCCTCCAGCCAGGGAATGGTGGTGCAGTACATGCTAAGGTGAACTGGAATTGCCAGATTTTGTGTGTGTTACATTGTGGGGACCAAATGTCCCTGAAGTGTGATATAAATATGTCATTTTGAATTTGTGGAGACCATTTTCTCGGTCCCCACAAGGGGAAGCTTACTTTTGTAAAAGTCTGTGACAAAAAATGCCAAAATCTTGTATTTTGTTTGGCTACTTATGGTTTAGGGTAGGTCTGAGTAGTGGTTAACCTTGTCATTATTGGGATTAGGGTTTTTCTCATAGAGATGAATGGATGATCCTCACAAAGATATGAATACAAATATATATGTGTGTCTGTGTGTGTGTGTGTCCTGGGTTATTACCTGCCTTTTGCCTGTAGCTTCTGGGATAGGCTCTGGACTTTTGCATAGAGCAAGCGGGTATAGAAGATGGTGGTCTCAAGCCTGGAAGATATTCCAAATTTAAAGTAAGGATATGTACGCATTTCATTTGCTTTCTGTTTTCTTCAATTAGCACCAAAGTTGGGAAAAACGTTCAATGTTAATCCAATTCCTTGGAAGACCTTTGAAGTCAGCCCTAACACAGCTTTTGGATACAAGGTGATACAGCTGGAT